TTTCCCTTTACTGCTATCTTCAGTTCTTCGAGCTCCTGACTTGTATCTTCGTCCCCTCCTCTTTCCCTTGTCCCCAAATCCTGCCTGCAAAGCAACATCTGAATCCCTCTCCATCCCCACTATAACAGCACTCTTGAAGCAAGCAGCGTTTGAGCTCTCTCTCTTCAAATGTACGTGAACTAGTTAACCGGCAAAGCATCTACGCCATGTAGACCTTAGGTCCACCTATTTTAGCTCCCCTACCTTGCCTCGAACGGACCCGCAGCACATTCCTCCCCTCCTCCTTCCCACTTATAATATTTAAATTGCCGCCATTTATCGTGGCTCAGCCCCACCCGCCAAATTTTCGCAAGCCGTGTATAGCACTAGCCATAAGAGGATGTCGGGAGTGTGTTTCCTCAATGAAGTCGTGAGATTTTACCACTGAAACCGGAAATGTCATACAAATTCTTCCAAAATATGATTTAAACAAATGTATACTAAGAAGACCAGGACCGCCCGGATAATCGGTGGGGGAGTCCCATGTTAGTTACGTTACCGCAAGGTTCCCAAATGCTGCACAACCGTATAGCAGAGATTAAAAAGTGTAACACACAAAAATCAGAAATGTGCACGATGAAAGGAAATTTTCAGATAACATTATAACTTAATCTGTGCTTGGGACACCACCTACATTTTGCTGGTCCTCGAAAAGAAAAAAAAACTCTACACTTACATCATCCTGAATTGATTTCAGTTTAATCAACAAATCATGATATTTCGAGAAAAATGATTTACGCCTCGCTTGCAGTAGGCAATCCAGTTGCCTGAAAATGCGCAACGAAAATTTAATTCGATTTTTTGAACAAAAAGAGCAATTACTTTTAAAAAAAATAATACTTTCGAAGACATTACCAAGGCCGCTCGATCTAATGGTGTGATGCTCACAGTGCTACACAAACCCAGTAAAGCCACGGCCAGACTTTCGACAGCCAAATAATTGCCACCAGTTTTTACCCGTTCATGACGGATGCGTCTGTTTTCTCAAGGATTTTTACTTGTCTCCTCAAATGTGGGGCTTCTGACTGGCATTTTCTTCTTGTAGGCCACAGTGACTCATAAATGACAACGGTCAACTACTAGCATTTCACTGATTCAAGTGCAGACAAATTTCTATGAAAAATGTGGTTGTTTCCAAAAAAAAGATCAGATTTTCATTTTAAAAAAATTGCAATGAAACCAAAAAAAAATAGCAATTTACTCGTTCATAATGTCAAAAGTTTCGCCCAAGCTTAATGCGCGATTGTTAATACTTGTGATTTTCGACGATTGCGCCAAATATGTTGCAGCGGAGAGCAATCTGTGCAACGCTCGCACAACAGCCTCATTTCGTCCTGGACTTATCTAGAATATCAACTTAAATTAACTAAATTTTATAAATGTCCAAATCGAAAAAAGTAAAAATTTTAAAAATTACGCTGAAAATATTTGACGAAAAAATGCAATGATGTTTTTTTCGAAATGTATTTGAAATTGTCAAGAAGTAATCCTTAGTTCTCAACCACTTGGAAAATTAAGATTTTTGTAATTCG